AGTGGTTGCGGTTGTATATGCTTATTAGAATTGTTGAAAGTCGATGTGTGAACATCAGAGGTTGTTGGCCTGATGCAACTGTCGATTAATTCTGAGTAGTATGTGATACCGTCTAATATCGTTTCAGATGAGAACCTGTGTTTTTATTGAGATTTTGGAAGAGTCTGCAGACGTTTTGGGTACCATGTTGAAGTTGAGCTTTGTCTAGCATACGTGAACGGATGGGCAGACAAAAGGAGCTATCCAGTATGTAGAGGATTTGTTGAGAGCTCCTGTGTTGGATCAAGATGGGTAAGAAGGAGGTGTGGGACTCCTTTGTGTTGATATGTGTCTGGCAAGAGTGTTGTACTCGGACTTGGGATTGTGCAAGAGACGACTGAAAAGATTAGAGGATCCGAGAAAGAACGTGTTTTGAGAGTTACGATAGTAACTGGTGTTGAGCGAGCTTGAGGTCTCGGAAGCAAACTGTGTCTTGTTGAATCTGTATCAGAGTAGTGCAGCGGAAGCGTGGGAAAATAGCATGTTAGATTGTTTTACCGCTGTCACTAGGAGAAATTGCATGATGTGTTCATGTGTCTAAGCTGAGGAAGCGCATCGATCCCGATGGATGGTGTATGAGTGAGAGAGGATTTGACTGTTGAGACAACTTTAAAAAAAGGGATTGTCTTGGTAAAGGTATTTTGGAGGATCAACTAGAGAAAGTTGGATTTGAATCGGATAATATTTTCGAGGACGAAAATTCCTAAAGTGGGGAAGAGTTGTAACAACCCGATTTTTAATAACTGATTAATTGTACTAGTTAGTTGGTTTGTATGGTTTAAATTGAATTATTGGATTTAACTGATTTATTCTAATTGGTAGAATCATGAGGATTTATCAGATGTTTTCTAACCAATGTCAAGATGAGATATTTTATGAGAAAATGAATTGACAAATATTTTAAGAGAAGAAATATAATTGGAGAGAAATAGGAAGGCAGGACATATATATATATATATGGGGGAAGAGGAACGATAACGGATAATAGAAAACATGAAAGGAAAGTGGATGAAGAAGAGAAAGTAGAAGGAAAAAGAAGGAAAACCTTGGAAAAGCTCAAGAACGACTTCTAGCTTCCGATTAATCGAGGTAAGGGTGTGAAATCTTACTATCTTAATCAATGTGTATGATTATGTATGTGTGTGTTTGGATTTGTTGAGTGTTTCCTACATTTTCCATTTTAGGTCGAAATGAGTTTAATCGGTAGAAATTGAGTTTTATCGGTTAGAATTTGGAATAAACGGTGTAGCATAGTCGGGTGATGAGTGGGTCGTGCTACTAGAATAATTATATGCATTGTTATTATGGTAATATTTCTCACCCTTCTGCTGTTTTATGATGCTCTATGAGACATTGCAGATTAGGATTGTTGGAGGTGTATTTTGGAGTATAACTCATTTTCTCTTGTGTCGGTCGCTCTGATATGTAACGTCGGGTAGCTAGGCTTGTAGAGTATCTTCGTGATACATTATATATATGTAATAGTTGATGATGTTTAGTAAACTGTGATTGATGTTATGAACAACCTAATGACGTGTACTTGTATTTTATCATGTCTTAAGTAATTCAATGTTTTAGTCTTCCGCTTTAACAGAAAACATGAATATGCTTATTTTAAGAACCATGCGTTTATTCTTTTTAGTTGAGATTTACCCCTTTTGAATTATTTCTTTATAAACATTAATATTCATGTGGTCGTTTCGTGAGTAATGTGACGCACTTCTTTTATACCATGAAATAAATATACTCTGATGGAATTTTTAATTCGTGCCTAAATGATTTAATTGTGTTATTTGGGGGTATAGAAAGGGGGGCGTTACACCAGAATTCAAATATATTTGTTTTTTTATTTTATTTTTTCATTTTAATTTCCTTTTCTTTTCTGATTTATTTTAAATGGCTCCTTTATCATTTTTAACTCCAATTTTTTTTCATAAATCATAAAAATTACTTTCTATCTCATACTTTTTTTTAATAATTTTTAAATCATTTTTGCATTTATTTGATATTTTACTTCATTTTCTTTTTAATTTTCCTTTTCAATTTTATTTTTAATCATTTTTGACATTTTGAATTTCAACTTTTGAGATCTTATTATTTGTAATATTTATGACTTTCTTAAATTTTTTTGGCCATTTATTTGATGTTTTGATACCTCTTTGATATTTTCCATTTTAAATCTTTTTTAAAAATCATTTTTTTATTCAATATTTTGCTTGCATTGATCTTGGCTCTTGTTGTTTGCTTGGTTGAACATATTTTTAACATTTCAAGTCCTTGATTGATTGGTCCTTTGATTGATTCAATCTTCTCTGGTTCAAACTTGGTGATAAATGATTATTTGAACATTTTTGACTCTTTGCATCAGAGATAGGTTATCCCTTGTTTGGACCATGTTTTGAGTCTTTGGCTTGTTGATAGATGATCCCAACAAGTTTTCTCTAGATCTCTTCTCCTCCATCTCTTCTTATTATTTTGCTTTTACTTTGACTATTGTGTGACATTGTTTTAGGAGGCTAACTTTGTGTTAGTTCTCTAACATGTTGACACATAAGTTATTATTGACCGGCCTCAGATAGGTGTGACTTCTATATAATTCCACTTACGATTGCTTAACATAGCGCTAAATTGTGATAACCTTTATGTCTTTTACTTTATGCCTTTATATTTACGTCATTTATTTTTATGTCATTTACATTCATGGCATTTACATTCTTGTTTTTATTTTTTTTCTTCCTTTTATCTTTATGTCTTTTATCTTTATGCATTATTTTACTTTCTTATTTCAAAAAGAGTAAAAAAACATGATAAAATACTAAGACCTTAAAAACTTTGATCTGAAGCTTAGGATCTAGTGTTTTCCCTTTGCGAGTAGTATCTAAGACTGAAGTTTATCTGAGACTTTAGAGTTTATCTGAGACTGTGAGGCTCATCTGGGACTTTGTGATTCACTTGAGACTTTATGATCCTCAATTCAAGACTTGAATGTGAGTGGTGTCAATATCTTCCCCTTGCATAACCAACTCCCGTGTCCAAATTTCTTTATTTAGCTTTTTGTGGTTTTGTTCGATCTTTTCCCTTTTTTCTTTGAAAACAATAAAGTTTAGTTTCGACTCTTCTTTTTCTGAGTTAAGTTAATCAATAGTTTAATTTCAATTATTTTTCCTGCTGCGACAAGAAAAATATTAGAAGAGTGGTACAATATAGCATCTTATACTTTAGCATGTGATAGGTTACACCAATCATTTGTATAGCCCGATCGATATGTCCTAATACCATATTAAATTTAAAATTTGGTCTAATTTATATTTACAAAACAAAAATATCATGTCTCAAACACGCTTCATTGTTAACCGTAGTCTAACTATAAAATGTTTAACAAAAACACTAATTAACTAATACTATCTCGAACACGCGGTCTAACCGTAAAATATTTAACAAGACCACTAATTACCTATTAGTGTCTAGTTAAACTGCCTTAGTTATAATTAATTAATATGCATCTAAACTGGGAATTAGTTTTTTTTTTTTTTTTTGACAAATTTAAACTGCATTAGTTATCTATATTATTATCTTATTGTGTTAAAATAGCATGGCTCTAACCAATTTTGGCTAACAATATGGAGCCATTAAACGAATCAAATTATTGAAAGAAAAAAAATTTGGCAGAATGTGATAACTGTTGTTTTTTGTTTTGTTTTCCGTAACAATCAAATAACTGTTGTTCTTTTGTTTTCGGTAACAATCTAATTCTACTGTTATTATTAATAACGAATATATACTGTTTTTTCATCTATAAAAGCTGCCATAAATGATGCATAAACAATGTTGCTTGTGTGACACTACACACCCACTAAAACGAACAATTAAAGACAAGAAGTTGGCAAAAAAACGTGTAACAGTCCTCAAAAACAGTTCGTGGAAATGAATACATAAGATTTTATAACATAAATACATGTATAGTTTTGAGACAATTTCGAGTGCAATTGACTCTCATGATTAATCAGTGAAATCGGTCTTTTGAATTAGCCCGTCTTAAAATTATACCGAATTTTCAATAAAAAAATATGACTTTATATATTGTGGAATAAAAAATCTCTTTTAACTTAACTAAAGGTTCTGAATTCAAACTTAACACTATACGTATAACAGTGTTATATTTTCCTAACTATTTCTTGGAGATATTTACCGTCTATTATAGTTATTCTCAACTTGCAATTGCGTTGCATGCAGGGGATTTCAATTTCTCGAAAAAAATAAACTAGAAAGTGATCCAGAGATACTACTATTGTTACTTGAATAACAAGCTACACAAAGACGCTCTCTTTGGTGTAATTTCTCTTTTTCTTTTCTTTTACATCTAACGACCCCACAATCTCAACGGTTCAAAATTCAACGTCTCCAAAACTATATCATACATTTTATTTATATGTTACATTTTTACGTTGCACCCTTCTTACAAGAACCTCACACCTTTGTTTTCTTTCATTCTATTGGCTAAACTAAACGCTTGTTCATTTATAGCCGCACTAAATTTAGAACCAAACCAAAAACTAAGAAACACAACAACATCGTTGAATTGAAAAAACATAAATAAGAAACTACCTTATTTTCGTGTGTGACTCATTCTTCGTATCTATTACGCTTTCATCTCTAATTATAGACAAAGAAAATAGGAATGAGGTAATCTTCATTTACTTATTTACCATTTATAATCTTTAATCCGTTACTTTCTTTTTTGTTTCTTCTCCTCCTCTGTTTCACGTTGCTCTGTTATTTTGTTTTCGTGTTTTTTTTTCATCAAGATAAAAAAACATGTCTCTCATGATGTTTTTTGTGAGATTGCAATGTTTTCAATCTCTTTACCCTTTTATATGAAAAGGGTTGTTTGCATTTCAGGTTAAACCGAACCGAATCAAACCAAACCTGGTTGAAAGTTTGAAGAAGAAGAAAAAGTAACAATGGCATCTTCTGGTGTTGAAATTGCGTCTTCTTCACCGTTTGGTTGTGTTCTGAGAGATCGTAATCATCGCGATGCGTATCGAGAGAGTAGCAAAGTTAAAGCAACGCATGGTGCTTTTCAAAGAAACATTAAGAACTTTGTTATGGATCATCTTAACACGTGCATTTCCATGTCTTCTGATTCTCAAACAACAAATGAAAACAAGAACGAGGGTCAAATCAAAAGCAACAAAAACAATGATGATGGTTCTACTTGGGTTTCGAAACCTGGCAACAATCTTGCGAAGATTCGTTTGACAAGAAACAGTCCCAATGATATTATCAACAACAAGAAAGATGAATCGAGTTTGGCTTCGTTGATTAGCCCGAGGCATTCGCAGCTTCTTGATCGATGGGCTGCGAAGCAAGCTCGTGAGATGGTGTCGACGTTGGAGAAGGAGGCTGAGTTGTTGTCCATAGATAACGCCAATGACGACGTGCCTGTGAGGACAACTAGTTCTACTACATCTGATGAATGTTCTTCAGAGATACCGAACCTTGGTGCGTCTTCGCTTGTTCAGATATGGGAAAAGAGGCTTAACAAAACAAGTGGTACTAAGCCCAATACTCCAATGGAGAAAACAAGTCCAAATGGTGGTACAAGTGCGACTTGCAACAATGAGAATGTGTTTGTTGGGGTAGAACAAAGAGGGTCGGAAATTGGAGAGTGTCTTGAAGGACAGTTATTAGGGAACGAAGAAAATGATTCTTCGTTTCCTGATTGGGAGTCTGATAAGACAGGTGATCAAGGTGATCAAGGTGATCAAAGTAGGTGGTGTTCATCGGAGAGTGATAGAGTCAGTGTTGCTGATATCATAAAGAAACTCACTGCTACTACGAGCCAAACTCAGAGTCCATCTCCGTATATTGGCGATGAAAATGACAATGAAGGGTGTGGTGGTAATAGCAGTGTGGCATGTTCTCCTTGTAAAGATTTTGCACCAGAACTTTCTGACCAAAAGGTTACTTGTTCACCGCGAATTAGAGGACGCCTAGCCTTCACTGATTTGTTTATGCAGTTGGAGAAAGATCGACATGGGGAGCTAAAGAACCTGGCCGAACGTGGAACCGTCTCCAAGTTCACACAAAGAGGTCGCATTCAGGTAATTAAAAAAAGTGATTTTCTTATGGCGTATCTCCGTCAAAGAGGAAAAAAAGTGTGCGTTTGGCCTAATGCTCCAAATTGGAGCTTCTATGTTTTCACGTATTTTCTGCCTCGAGACGCGAGAAATAGCATGAAAATGCTGTTCCAAACACATGTTTAATCTTCTTGTTCTTTCTTCTTTTGTTATGTTAGTGCTTAGGACATGCTGTGATCTTTGATATTAGCACAGTCTCAATTGTTGTGGAGACATCAAAAACTTATTATCACGGCCCAAATTGCGGTCACAATTCACAAACCGTTTTAGTCATTTTGTGTATGAATTATGCAGGCATTACTTCGACATAAATCGTTACAACGAGGCGTGGCAGCTAATATTCTATCGGACCAGAAATCAACATCATCTGAAGTAAGCAAACTAGTACAACCACAGGGATCTGCAATTATGCAACTAAGGTTTGATCATTTCAATACAAATGTCAACTTTTTTATAGAGAGATCTCTAATTATTCTTAGGCTTGTACTTTTCTACTTTTCTGGTATATGTTTCAATAAGATGAACACTGCAACATTCATCATAAGTAAGGATAGTGAGTCACTTTTATCTTCATATAATGCAGGGAAAAATTTATCAATGGTGTGGAACAAAGAAGTACAGTTGAGGCAGAAGTAGTGAAGACACGAAATGCTCGCAAGGTGATAGGAAACAACATCAGACAATTAGAAAACTCTTCCACCACTGATCAACTCAGCAAAGACGCAAGCAGCGAGATTGCTCATGGAACTACGAGTCACGCCATTAAGACTCAGAATAAGTATGCCAAGGAAACTTCTGAGGCAGCTAAGCCGGTGACTGATTCAAATGTTAATGAGAAAGAGGAAGAGGAAACAAGCCGGGAATGTAATGACACCGGTTATGATTATGCAGCAGACGAGGAGGGAAGTAACCAGAACTATGCGGAAAGCAGTTGGGAAGAGATGGTGGAAGAGAACTATGATGAAAATAGTTATGACTGGTTCAGCGAAATTTCTCGGCCGAGAAGCTATTGGGAAGAGCGAAGGCAAGCTTGGTATAAAGAGATGCAAGACACCGGTTCTCCAAACGACGATATACAAGTGCTTCTTCAAAGGTATATACTTCTCTTGTTAGCTAGATTTGAGTATGATAATATCCTAACACGCACGGTTATCCGTTATGTATATATATAATAAAGATTAAGCAGAAACAGAAGACAATCGGACAACGACTCTCTGTATTGACCTAGGAGAGACATTGCCATACATGAGCCTTTGGACTCTCTGTATGATAATTAGATTGAGAATTGGTCAGAGACTCAAGAAAATGATTTTATTTATACTTTTAACACTAAACTGAATTTAAGTAAATTATGCAGAAGGACAGTGTCGACTTTCCTTTCGAGTGACTTCCGAGAAAAAATGGACAGATTAATGCATTCTCATAAGGGAACACAAACACATTTTGTCACTAGTCCGGACGATGAGATAGACAACGAAGCGCTGATGGAGTTTTTCAAAGAACACCTGCAACCTGAAAGAACTCCTCGAGAAAACAAAATAGAGAAGACGGTAGATGAAGAAGAGGAAATGGTAAACGAGCAAGAAGAAGAAGAGGAAGAGAAGCAAGATGAAAAAGAGCATGAAGAGGAGCAAGGAGGGGAGAGTTTGGTAAGCGATTCGTATCATGAAGTCGGAGACTATTCATATCGATCCTCATCATGGAGTTATAGAGACAATGAAGCTGGTGACGATTTCGATAGAATTCCTTCTACATCTTCACAACAACCTTTTCAGTCTCCGTCTTTCTATCACGAAAATACTCCGCAAAACTCCTCGCCTATCAACCATCATTCAATTGTAAGCTTATCATTCAACTGTCACCTTGAGAGAGGGTTTAGTCCAATCCAAGGATTTTATATGTAACTAAATATACAAAATGGTTGTGATGATTACAGGAAATGGAAATCATATATGATATGAGAGGACACATGGAGCAACTTTATCAAGAAATGTCTGAACTAAGAAAATCAATAAAGAGTTGCATGGATATGCATATGCAGATGCAGTTACAGGAAAAGAAGTCACATAACAAAGCTGATAAGAAAGGAAACTGCTGCGTTTGCAATGAGATGAAAGCTGACTCAGTTTTTTACAGGTATGTATATTTAACTACTGTGCCGTAACCTGTCTTATACGCACCAATCTTGAGAAAAAAAGTAGCACTCATGCAACATATTGTGACCAATTTTTTTCAGGTGTGGACACATGTGTGCATGTCTGAAGTGTGCCAATGAGTTACAATGGAAGAATGGAAAATGTCCAGTATGTAGGGCAAAAATAGACGATGTTATTCGAGTGCATGTTGAAGCATAGGCTGTCACGGTTGAAAGAGTATCTTACTTTAGAAGACTATACATTCTTAGTTCGAAAACTTAGTGAACTGCTAACACAATTGAACACTAAACTTGAATTTCTCCTTTTCACATATACTTTCAAGTATATGATTTTTTTAGGAGAATTTAGGTTGAAACTAATCGGTGTACATTTTATAGTTTTAATCTAACCCTTTTTTTTTGCTGCAATATAAGTTCGTGTTGCGGCGGATTTTGTTGGCAGATGTTGTAAATAATGTATTTATTACTATTAGTGCTTGTATATTATTTATAATTAAAATATAGTATTATACTTTTACGCGTATAAAAACTCTTGATTTTGAGAATTCTTGCTTCCGTATAAAATCTAGTCTTTTGCGAGGTTTTCTTAACTTGTAGATTTTGAGACCTCTTTGAGATTTCAAAAGATATTGTTTAACATTTTGTTTTTACTACAAACACTCTTTACCCGATAATAGTGTTTAATTTAACGTGAATATTAGCCATTTTGCTTACATTATTCGTCATGTGGTGTTGGGCAAAAATCAATCAATATATTAGAAGAAGGATTAGTTCAACTCAACAGAGATTATGTAGAAAGGTTGAAATACTTCCTTAGTAAATTGGAGAACCAATAGGTACTTGAAAAAACTGCAAATGCCGAAGGAAAGAAAACAGGCTGGAAGCAATTCTACGGCCCACCGTAGCTATTTCTATGGCCGTTGCAACATCTTGACGGACAGAAATAGCTACTGGACACCTTTAGATATTGCAACGCCGCACCCGTGGCTATTGCTACAGCCGTCCCGTTACAAATTAGAGAATTTTTAATTTATTTTTTTATATTTTTAGAGATACACATCCGTTACACCTTTAAACACTTTGCAAATTTTCTTTTATGTCTCCTGTTTTCGGAGATAAACATCCAGACACAAATTTTTTTTACACTAGATACTTCTGGAGACACATATACGAAAAAAATTTCGTAAATACATCTCCGAAATCTTATCAGAACAGTTTTTTTTTTTAAATCAAGTTTTGTTGGTCGCAAATGGATATTAACCGTTGCAGATGAATATAAAATAACATACATTCGTAAATAAAATAATATAATATATATGAGAAGTAATATGTCATAATCATAAAAAAAATAGTACATAAATGTCATCAAAATATATACATCAAAAAACACCTCAAAAGTCACTACTGTTTGTGCCTAACAAGTGACAATATTTGCATCCCCTCCTCTGCCTATGCTTCTACCGCCTCGTCTGTCTCTACCGTCTCCTCGAACGCCCAGTCTGCGTCATCGGCCGTCGAGTCCACCTGTCCTAGCGCGATGTCTGCAATACATAAGTGTCACATGTGCCACCTCAATGATCTAATCCAATACACGTCTGTGGTCAGACCCTTTAGAGAAGAAACCGACGGCAATGTCTGACCGCCCCATCTCCATTATCTAACGACAGCGAGGCAGGACATCCTGAGTGTGGTCCAACTGAGATTTCTGCTCCTCTAAGAACTCCTGATGAGCTAGTTTGGGCGGTGATCCTTCTACAGTGGGCACCATGTATGGGTGTGAGACGATGAAGAACTATATGATGTAGCCATCAATGCAACTCCAGTCTCTCGGTCCTCTGGTCGCCTGAGTCTCGTCTGGTACCATGTGCGTCTGGTAGTCAGCAAAGATCTCGTCTATCTGCCTACGGGTCAAGTCGAGAGGAGCGGAGACAGCTAGGTGTCTGGATATCGTCTGTGCGTACCCGAACTGCCGTATGACGCGCTCGGGAAAATATGAAACAATGATGGTCGAACTGCATTTCAACCATCCTGAGAATAGTGGTATGTCATCAAACGGGTGCGTCTCACGGTGATCGGCATACACGTCGTAGCGGATGTCCTCATCAACCAGGCGATCGAGATAGACTCTGTAAGGGTCGACCGCCTGATTCCCCTTGAGCGGAGTAAAGGCACGGGCACGCGGCATCTACTCTGTGTAATTAGGCACACTCCCCCACCCGTCGATCATGGGAAAGTGCTGGAATATCCAAGCCTGAAATAAAAATAAAAAACATAAGGATCAAGCATTATCATGAATGTAGAATGAAAAGAAATGAAAAAAAAAAGTTATCAGGATATGAGATTGTTACCACAAGTAGTGACACGCTGTCTGCCACAGTCATGGTCTTCCACAGACATCCCTCTCCTAGCCTCGAATACGTGTAATCCAGGGTATTTTCCCCTCAGTTGTACTCATGGATCCGTGTGGAATCTAAAAAGTACCTCAGGTAAGCGACATCGGTATATGTGGAGGAAGTGTCCACAAACAGCTGTGTGTCGAATAAAAATAAAAAATAACACCTCAACACACATTGTCTGTGTATCTCAACCTCAGCTGGATCACCATCTTCCTGGCGTGCAGCAGCGAGGTGTAACGCCCCATAATGCTTTCAGGATTACTGATTGACCCCACAAACCAACACGGGTCTTTTCAGCATGCTTTTTCCTCACTCACACGCTTTCCGGGAAACTTCCCAGAAGATCACTCATCCCTAAATTGCTCCAAGTCAAGCACGCTTAACTTTGGAGTTCCTATGAATGGGCTACCGAAAAGAAGATACCTCTTGTTTTCGGTAGCCCGTTCATAAGAACTCCATAGTTAAGCGTGCTTGACTTGGAGAAATTTAGGGATGGGTGACCTTCTGGGAAGTTTCCCGGAAAGCGTGTGAGTGAGGAAAAAGCATGCTGAAAAGACTCGTGTTGATTTGTAGGGCTAATCGGTAATCCTGAAAGCAATATGGGGCGTTACAGCGAGCGCCTCAGAAATCTACGTGTCAGAAAGGAGAACCGCACGTGGCCCCCCTAGTCTTATCCACCTCCTCAAGCGCATGCTGTAACGCCCATTTTTAATTATTTAGTTTGTCCGTATTATTTGTTTTCGGTAAATCAAGTGTGGTAATTTGTTGGAGAATTAAGTTCCATAATATTCGAAAATATGAATGATAATAATAATATTGATATTATTGTTATTATTATTATGTTTAAAATATTATTGGAAAATTAATTAAAGAATTGAGAAATAAGAGAAAATGTCCTTATTATTATTAGTTGGAAATAAGAAAATGAGGATTAATTGGAACTAAGGACATTTGTGGCATTTAGGGAAAAAGGAAAAGAGGAAAACACGATTGTGAAGGAGAAGAAGAGAAAACACGGTTGAAGAGGAAGAACAAGGTCTGAAGCAAGAGCAAGAGTTTGTTGGGCTGTCAATTCATGTGGAATTCTTGAAGCTTCATCATCATCAAGCTGCATTTCGAGGTAAGGGGGGAGATTGATCGGTTAATCGGGTATATTGCATGAAATTGGTAGAAAGGGGAAAATCCCTAATCCCCATATATAACGATTGTTTGATGTTGATTGTACTTGCATGTTGCTGTAATTATCGTGTTGGATTGTGTTAATTTCATTGCATGTGGCTGTCAGAGTCGTTTGAGAGCGGTTGGGGTTTCCGGGTGAATTCGAAGTTATACCAGAAGTTGGTAATTGCGTAGATGTAAGCGTTACCGAGTAGAACTGAGTTGAATGTTATAGTCGAGTAGTGGAACGATTTTCTGGTATGTTGGGGTTTGGCTTGGAATAGAATCGGTTGGGCTCGGAGTGTGTTGCCGACTCTGAGCTGAGAGCTGTTTTCTGCAGAATTCCCATGCATTCGCTGGGCGAATGGGGGCGAGCCTTTGCCAGGCTAACTGGGCAGCGAATGCTGCCTTTTGCTTCTGTTTGGCTTTGCTGGGGGTTTTGCCGGACGAGTCCCAGCGAGTGTTCGCTGCGGGGCTTCGCCAGGCGAATGGCAGTGAACATGACAACATTTTGTGATTTTTCTGCTGTGCTGCTCGTTCTCGCGTGGTTGGACCCTCGTTGGTCGTGAGTGAGTACGTGGTTATTGTGGATCGGTTAAGAGCATGAAGGTGATGTAGAGGGCGTGTGCTTGAATACTCGTTGATACGAACGATTAAACTGAAGTACGATGTGATGCCTAAAGTGGCTATGTATCCTTCGACTAGGAATGAATATGTGTGGATGTGTACGTGAGATGTATGCACAGTGTGCGAAATATGCGGATCAGTAGGATCATTATGCATTGAGTATGTTGTAGTGATCTGTTGTGGTAAGTGGGTCTGTAGGACCGATACGCTTATTATGCGTTGCATTGGTATGTTGTTATGTGATGTATTGGGTCAGTATGACCGACAGGCCTTGTGTGCATTGTTTGTGATAAGTTGTGTGGTGAATGGATCCGTGGGATTGACGCACTGTGTGTGTTTGTTGTGTATGTACTTTATGATGTGAGTGGATCTGTGGGATCGGTACGCCTTGTGCGTCGTGTATATGTATATGTTATGTGAGGGGTGGATCAATGGGATCGGTGTGCACTTGGTGGGCTAGATGTTTGATGCGTGTGAATATCGTTGTGTGCTCCCGTAGTGGAGGGTGATGGCCAGTTGTCCATCGACATTAATTAGTGTGCTCCCGTAGAGGAGGGTGATGGCCAGGTGTCCATCGATATTATTGTTGTGCTCCCGTAGAGGAGGGTGATGACCATGTGTCCATCGATGATATTGTGCTAAGCTCCCGGTGGGGAGGGTGATGGCCAGGTGTCCATCGGTATTATGGTGATGCTCCCATTGTGGAGGGTTGATGGCCAGTTGCCCATCAGTGTGGTGTGCTCCCTGAGTGGAGGGTTGATGGCCAGTTGCCCATCGTTGGTATGTGCTCCTGAGTGGAGGGTTGATGGCCAAGTGCCCATCGTGATTGTGAGTCGGTATTGTATGTTAAGAATGGTGTGAGTGCAATTGTTGCGTGATTGTATATTGTGATTGATGGTGGGACCGTGAGTCCGGATGATATGTATATGAAATAGTATTATTAATGATTTCTGCCTTTTATTTCATGTATGTTTATACCATTAATATTTGATCGTGAATCTCACCCCTTTGCTGTTGT